ATGTCATTTCATGTTTTACTCTACAGTAACAAAAATTATTATTTGGTTTCACATATGAACATTAAAATCACTTCCGACATTGTTTTGCACCGCTCCGAATTCCACCTCGAACTTCAAAAGAATTAACATTTTCGCTGGTAAAATAACAAATTTTAACTCAACTCTCCAAACCGTCATCAAATGTGGTTTACAGAGTCGTATTACGTTCCCAATATGTCCCTGCCATGTGGTGTCAAGCGTGAAAAATAGCGCAATACTCGTACACTCATAGTTAGTGAAATAATGGAGAATGGAGTAATAGGTGTTAGTACCTCCATGTCCCATGTAGCTTAAATGACGATTGTACTGTATAAAATATGTACGTGCATGGTATAATGTATATTTAAAACATGTGTATAAGTTTTATAATTCCTTCAAGATCTTTTATACACATTTGTACTACCGATACTTTTACTTTGAGCAACCGCATGGGTACAAAATACCCCTAAAATGTTTGCAGGCTGAGTGCTAGCGGTGACTATATTCCATCATTATTTTAAAATAACCCCAATTTTATTTTAAAATATTATAGCTACATATGCATATGTTTACTGTTCTTACACGTCCCATCTTGTTTCATTGTCGTTTGGAAGGAAGGTGCACAAAGCGTTATTCATTTTCTCTCAGTACATTTTAGAATAGGTATTTCTTTGTAGGCAGTATCTGCATACGTCGGCAGAAAATATATATTACATTAAATGTAGCTTCTATTCAGCAGATTCCCAAGAAATATAAGAATTAATGCAAAAGTCGAAATAATTGATAAAAACAAATTAGCAGCGATGGTCATCATCACTTCGACATTCTTTTATCATTATTGACATTATTTTTCCATTTTCCAGGAATTTCCTATTCGAATAGAACATTATCTCTGATCACCATAAATTATCCATAGCACCTCAGGTACTCAAGGTAAGAACAGTCCCTTCTTTCCAAGTACTTCAGCGGACACCAATAGATCATCTTTGCATGACTGAAAAACAGACCGACTTCCATGATGTTAGCACGAGTATTTACAGGGGAATGGCATGACCGTACTGTGGAATTTTGGGATATGACTTAGTGACAGAGAGAAACAAAAGTTCCAGATACCCGATGCCATTTCAGCTAAACGGGTCACCCCTACCAGATATTTTCTTAATACAATGTGATTCAACTATTACTAGCACTCCAAATATTTTTCATAGTTTAAGTTATTGCATAGCAATTTTTGTGATTCAGTAGATTCATTGGCATCCAACAGTTTCTGGATGGGCTTATTTCAGGAAATGTGATATTTTCAAATGAACCATAATTTGTTTACACGACAAAACATAATGTATCGCGTAAGATCGTCTGAAGAACTTGTTAAAAAGCTATATATACCGCCGAATTGTCAGAATTTTACGATTCCAAAGAAGTACAACTTCCATAGTCCCATGTGAAGAAACGAAGATCCCAGAAATACATCTCACGCGAAACATTTTTATTTTAGTCCCTATGTGAACTACTGAATGCCAAACTCGCAGCAGGATATCTTAAACGGAAAATTTTGTAAGGCTAGCAATTACAGAATCACACAATGGGAGAATATCTGGTGGGGGTGACCCGTTTATCAAAAAATGTTATCAGGTATCTGAAACGTTCGTGTTTATTTTCGGAATGCACTGACGAATGCCAAAATCCCTCCGTGCGGTCACCATTCCCTTAATAGCTACCGCTTTTCGCACACAGCTTCATTCTAATCAGTTTTCCGGTTACATTATCTGCTAGGGGAGACCTTGTCGTAGTGTAAGAATGAGGGAGCTTTTGACTGTAACCACACAGAACGAGCTAATCTTAATTTTGCAGACTCTTTTATTTAAGACGTTTCTCAACCACTTTGGTTCAAGACGTTCAGAAATGTCTACAAATAGACATGCTTTTTTTTTCTTCAAATACCGAAAAACAGTGTATTATTTGTTTGCTGTTTTCGTAGGATCAGTGGGAATTTGAAGGTCATGCACTCCAGCGAAAGTCATAGGGTTTTCATACTTTTCTAGAAATGGACAAGGTGTTATAATACGATGCAATTTTTACTATTGTTCCTGATAAAAAGCTGTGTTTATCATCCGGAGAAATGGCTAATCTTGCGAAGCTGCTAACTCTGCCTCTTTTAATCCACATAAACGATTGTCTCTGTTGATCTGCATCTTGCCCATCGTCTTGATATTGTTTATGGGGTGGTGTGTCACACATGGTTTCTTTAATATTCTTTTTGTTTCCCGTTTCTTGTCAATTTTTATCATCAGCAGTTCAGTGTCTGTTTTCCTGTGTGTCGTGAGCAGTATTAGTCGCAATGAAGAAACATTGCGAATAATACAGCTCAAGACATTTGGAGACTGGTATATTTACAGTCTTTTTTCCTACTCTTCGGTGAGATTTAAAGACCAGCCTCGTACGTGGGTTATCTTGATTTCTTACCACATACTTTTCCATTCCTACAATTTCGTAGTGCTAGAAACTAATTGTCTGGAGGCTATAGGTAGTATAGTGTGCAGTGTAAATAGAGGGAGCAACTACATTTATGAGCACCCATTTTCATGTCTTTATATACATATTACCTATTTCTTCCAAGTGAATACAACAAATGAATAACGAAATTAAAGATTAAATGATAAAATTAAAATATACAACTGATATTATGTTGAATCATTTACCGAATTGCGACATGGTTGAGGAGGCCTCTTCCCCAAACATAGTGTAAGAATTCCCAAAATTGTCAGGATAAAAATAGTGCAAATCAGGGATTGATTTTTTTTTTTCAGAAATAAAATACTGCATTACGTAAGGCTACGGGGCTCCCGTTCAACGCTCTCTTTGGATACGACTTTCTAATAGCATGGCGCAGCTATATGTGCACGAAGACACCTTTTTCTCCAGATCCCGAGTAATAACATCTGGTTTATCATCTGTTATCGTACGATCAATATGAATTTACTGACAATATTGTATACAGTTCAACCGACATCGCAGGTTTTGGTGATTATTTGCACCATTTGGAGCATGTATTTGGGAGTTTGAGGATGCTACAGATCCACCAGTGGAAGTAACTACAAACTTTCGTGCATTTTCATGAAATCGGACATTTTTAGAATTCGAGAATATAAGACGAAATGTTGAAATTATTATTTGTTTCTGCTCCTGACAAATATTATTTTTTGTCATCTTTGGACATTTTAAGAACCGGTTTATCATAATTGCGTTCTCTGAATGAATAGTGGTAAGTTTCGATTACAAACCCTTCTTTTGCTTCTTTTATATTCCGAAGAAATTATTGAATTTTTGTTGATCTGGATCTTCTCCATTCTTTCTAGGTATTGTCAATGAGATGGTTTGTTTCTTTAAGATTTCTTTGACATTTTTCTTACATATCATATTAAGTAGCATCAGGAGTTCAATGTTGTGTTATTATGAGTGTATTGCACAGTTTTATTTCGCAATGCTCTTTGCTACACTGCAATGCCGCTATTCCCACTCTTTCGGTCACATTTAATAATCTGCCTCAAAAGTAGGTGATCTTCATTTCGGATCACATATACCCCCATTCTAACTATTAAGACTGTTAATTGATAATACTTTCTTATTTTTAAAGCATTTTTGTATCCGTTTATATTCACTTTCATCTTTGAACCCAAATATTGCAAAAAGACTAAAAAAGTTTTCTTCTTAATAATCACAAGATCCAAAGTCTCTTCCCACATCTCACGATCCATTAATTAAATGGAACTACTCTCCATGGAAATGACAATATCTAATCGAGTTAATTGGTTTTGTCGTTTCGGAGTCACAGCAACTCGATATCCCAGTGACCAGTCGGCCTTCGGCTTCTCCCCGAACGCTGTCAAAAGAGTTTGGAGTCTTTACGTTGAGTTAATTAAGAGAAGCGAGAAGCTTGAAGGATATTATGTCACCTCGGGGAGTTGTGATTACCAATTGCGCAGCCAATTTCCACACCGCCCACGTGCACCTTTGACTTCAAACTCGCGCCTTCAACTTTTCAAGTTTTCGCGTCTCCGCTAGCACATAACACACGAACCAATCTCCCAAAGTCTCCTTTGTTTATTAGATACATATTTACATGAAATATAGTTGCGGGAAGGGACACTCAACGAGAAATATAAATAAAATGTTACTTGACCACAGTGTAAGTTAAAAAAGAAATTTGTAAGTTGAAAAATACAAACGTTTACGTTCATGAAATTGAAATTTGGTCAACAGTATATCAAAACATTTTATTAGAGACCGTTTAGTATGTATATCCCTTTTACACAGTATTTGGACATTAAAGTTCAACTGTTTTCTACACCAACCGGAAAACGTACCGAAAGTACTTTACTAAGTAGTACTGAAAGTACAACTAGAAAACAAAATACACACGAACGAACGAAAAGTACGTAGTATGTTGTCGTGGTTGTCAATTAATTTGTATATCACGCTTACCAATTGTCATAAAGTTGAGTATTGAAATAAAATACTGTACATCGCACGGTAGAAGAATAAAATATTTTGCACGACAGGATTCCTAGACTCAGCCTCATGCGGGAACTCTCCCGTCTACAAATGGAATGGAATGTGCCTTGTAATGTGAATGACTACTTATTGACAATTCCTCAGAGATTTTCGGGGCAAAAAAGAAGTTGGTGTCGAATATGTAGAATTACTATTTTTAATATAAACCCGGTGTACTAAGCATAAATCACGCATACATTCCCCTCTAAGAAAAGTGGGGGGCTTATGGAACTGTAGTTTCCTGAGACTAGGAAATGTTTGCTAACGGACTATTTATCACTGATGAACTGGGGGAAACGACAAACACCCTAGTTGAATGTAGAATGAAGTAGAAAAACAAAGATTTACTATTTTAGTATTGCTACTAATATAAGCAATTTAATCTAAATTAAGACATTTAAATTTGGACAATTCTTATTTTTTGTTCACAGAACTCGCCAGAAGACTACACCTCTAAAGAAGGACAGTTACAAATGGTGCGAATGGTTTGATGCCAGCTGTATGGAACAGAGCATTGCGATGCCGGGTGAGGCAAGATTATTTATATTAGCGATTAATTAGTTTTATACATACAAGATTGTATAAGTGAAACACATTTATATAAATTCTTTTATATATTGAATTCCTTTTATCTAATATTTTGGGTTGAGGTTCAAAAAGCCAAGTTTTTGCATTATGGTATCTAGTTTTCATGGAGAGATCAGAAATTGAGACAGAACTTGTTTAATTTACTGTTATCTTTGAAGTCATTCTAAGAAATTTCAATCATTGAAAAATTGTTTCCATTATTGAATTTCCTCGAGATATGTTTACATATTATTTATTTTATTGATAGATTAAGCGTAAATATAAGCGAAATATAATGTATGAAACTGAACATGTTTAGTGATTGTTCGCAGAATTATTGAAAACTGTTTTCATTGTTGTATAGAAAAAATCCATGATACTGATACAAAAAACTAGCGTCAGATTTCATTCTCTTAAAAAATAGTTTTTAAAATTCGCCAACGCTTTGTAAGACTTTTTCTATTCTACGTAAGTGGTATGCAAGAGAGCAAAAATATAATTATTTTTCAAATGTCAGAATCAAAACTTTGGTGACCAAAACAGTTTTTCTGTCGGTTTGAGATTTAGATGAAAATATTTTCAGCAAAGTAAGTTTCCAATAATGTTCTGAAGAACTCTTATAATAACATACAACTTTTCAATGTTTAACAACTTTTCGCCTGAAATAGAAGCTAAACATGGCTGATATCAAATTAATAAAATTAATGACAATTAAGGTTTTACTTCAAAATAATACAATAGTAGTTGTACTGAATCGTATCTCATTGCCTAATGTTATAGCAATGTTTTCCACACTTTCTACGTAATTATGTATACTACGAGCATTTTATTTACTATATACTTCAAGCATGTAATGAAAAGTTCTAAGGGAATAATTTTTATTTGAATCGGTTACAACAGAAAGGGTACATGTTACATTCTGTGCGATTTTGCGTTAGCAATGGGTAATTATTCATAGATAGATTCATCTTTCTGTGCAAAAATGTAATATGTATACAGTTTTTGAATGGATTATTTTAAACGTCACAATTTAGGAAGAGGGCAAAAAGCATACTTGTGTAGCACATGTCACTTTCTTGCACTGAATGAAATGAACAAAGGTTTTAAAATAACTGGTCGCATGTTAGAGCGTTCTATAACGCAGAGACGGATTACCGAAAACTTTTGTGAATCAAGAACCCACAGAACGTGAATTATGACTACACAACGTGTTAGAAAAAACATTTAATACTTATAGGAGCAAAAATTATAAACTTTTTTAGTATCAAGTAGTCAGAAAACATTTTTTTATCAATAAATCGACATTTTGACTGCAGCATTACAATACTTTCTCTGTACTATACAGGTAGTATTCGAAAATGTAAAAAAAAGTTAGTACAGCGTTTCACCACTCACATTCATTCCTGCAACACAAACTACTGTTCCTTCTCTACAAAGGATAAGATCTATCCGGCAGGATGGATTCCTATCAACCACAAAAACTTAACAGAAGAAACTTAAGGAAGTTTAAAGATTGTCCTCGTCTTCAGATTTTACGATATTCTGTATAGACGGGTAACAACAGTCAATGAAGCTGATGAATGAGTAGTAGTGATGAAAGAGATTGACATTAGGTACTTCTGACGAACTTTGGAAATATTCAAATTAAAGTTTCATTCGTCATTCTGAAATTCATCATTTTGTAAAGCGTTCCAACCGATTCATATATTTAACGGAAAGGGAACGTATGTGTTAAAAGTCGGCAGTAAATACACAACTCCTTGGAAAGTCGTTTATTTAATTTCATTCCTTCAAGTCAATGGTTGTCTTACCTCCTTAATGATATATAATGCTTTAATGGCTATAAATTGATAGAACCCTTCAAATAAGTCTATTCAGTATCATATAGTTATGCATATACATTCTGATGAAACTTGAGAGAAGACAAAAAGCAGAGTTTTGTGGACTTCTATACAACAAAAACACTATCGTCTCCCAGTAGAACAATAGTTGAAGGTACGGTATTCATTCTTGAGAAAGTATTGAAAAACTCACGTGGAAAGGTAAAAATTTAGAATCATTAACATCCCTTCACTCCATTCTAAGCGCACACATGGCTCCTTTTTACAACTCGTTCCCTTTCTCACAGAGTTCAATAGCCTCTGCTTTGCTTGTGATTCAAGCTCGAGGCTCCAAGAGCCTTGTTACGGAGCAATTTTTGCCTCGAGGTCGAAGCAATTACGATAGCTCGAAAGATAACGCGCAGAGGATTCAGACTTTTTCTCGGAAGGCGAAGTGGGATCCCAGAGCATCGTGAGAGGGTTAGGTTAAGGTACAGCACAGGATGCAGCCTTAATACGGGTACATGGGTGGGTGGTGAAGTTAGATGTCGGCATCACATTTACCTGTTCTGCCAAGGGCTGTAATGGATGTGATTGCAGTGTGCGGGGATGGGAACACTGACAGAGATGTAACCTTTTGTGACTGAAACAAAATGGCAATGCCTGTAGATTTTGGAAGAGTAGGGAGCTGACCTGCTCATTTTTGCCGCTACTGGTACATTACCCGGCACTTTCGCGTGTCAACAAGACAGGTAGACAGCCCTTGGTGGCTTCATTTGTCGTCCCCCGAGAGCACCCAGAGAGCACCTCAATACGAAAGCACCTAAATACGTAGTGCGCAATGGAAGTTAGGTGAAAAGGGGAAGGATAAAGATTAGAGCGTGGGCTCGAAGGAAATTGCAACTTCAATGGTGGAGATATAAAGATGGAGGAGAAGGGATAGAAGGCAAGACGGTTGCTTGTTATTTCACTCCCTGAATATTGAGTCTGCAGGATAAGTGGCAGTTTTTTTAGGTATGTTCGTTGAAGTGTAATGGTGATGACGTTGTGGCAAAGAAGCGGCCACATGAATGAAGCACAGAAGCAATTGAGATGGGATTGTGAAGTAGACGGGGAAATAATAAAAAGTAGGATCAGAGGCAGAGTAGCAGGTAGGAATCGTTTAGGATGGAATTTATGATTTCTGCGAATGCAAATTATTTATCAAGTCTCTTGTATAAGAAGAAAGTAGATAATTCCTGTATATCAGTTCTTACAATAGAACTTCAATGTGCACATAATTCAAAAATGGTAAAACACTGGTTCTTGGCTGCAAATTCTGTCTCTTGAAATCTGTATAAACTTGGGACGCAGACATTTTTAGAAATGCGGAAGGTTTTTAACTTTGGGCCGATCACCCTCTAAACGTGACACATTTCAGATACAGATATAAGTTCTAGAAAATAAATTATGGTTAGCGATGTCTATTGTGTAGCTTTTAACACACATTACTAGTCAGATGTTTTATAAATTCGAAAAGCAAGTAAATGCAAAATAAGAAATTGAATCAAAGAACTTAGACATCCGCAAATGATATGAAATAAATAACTATAATATGCTAGTACATAGTAAAGAATACTTACCTTCATAAAACTTAAAACTTTTCAAGAAATCTAGTTCAGCATACAACTTCTCTTTTAATTAAAAAGTAGAACTTCAAGTGAATCACTAATTTCTTCGAATTTTTTAGCAGTTCAAATAATGCAGAATTAATGAAATATAATTATTAAGAACCCCTAGTGAAAAACGTACGTAGCGGCCAACGTATCCGCAACTGAAGCGTCGCAGACAAGGAATTCCTAGATATACATTGGAGAGCGAATTTTCGGCACTAGCTAAGCTGCTGGTCGACGCAACGTTTACGTTGGCGTCTACGTGGATAATAATTCTCTCAAAACTAGTCTTTCGGATCAGTAGCCCCTGTACCGAAACTCTACGGTCTATTGCAGGTGGGTGCCGGAGTAGCATCTTAAACAACAGGCCACGGACCGCCACGATTTTTATTTACCCACCGTGTCCCATGGTCGGGCGAGGTACTCATCCTTCGTCTTCAAGGAATCTTTGATCAAGAAAATCTTCGATGTGCGCCGGAGAATCGGGATAAGCTGTGAGATACGGAAATGGAAAACAATCACAAATCTTAATGTTAACTTTTAAACAAGGCATAGGGATATTATACGTGTTTGAGAGCCCAAAGGCAGCGGATTTTGTTGCCTCCTTCTCTTGTATTCGGCAGTTTCCTGACGGTTACGAATGCGTATCTACCGCGGTCTGCCAGGCCTTGCGAGAGAGAGGGTTCCAGAAGACGGGGGAGGCGTTCTGAGCTCCCGGTGATCCTCTCTCCTTTCCGAGGCCTTGCCAAACGTTATAGAGAGATATAGAGTTAGAAAAGATTACTGTACGAAGGGACCGCTTTGACAACTATTACTTGACTATTGCTGGCAACGTAACTGGAGATTATGTCCATGTGCTTGATTAGTTCATTTAGACCCACCGATCATTTTGGAAAAAGTCGACTCTTCATTTCGAATTCGAGTAAATCAAATTATTGGTTAAATCCAAGTTTATTTCAAATCTTTAATTCCACGAAACCCTCAAAGTGACTAGTTTTTTCTCTTTCGATTTTTTCTTCGTTTCGTATTTTTCAGTTTTGTCTAATTTCTGAGTGGCACATCGTTTTCATCATGAATACGAGTAAACCTTGTTCTAATAAAAATTATAGTCATTGTTTTGTAATGCCATTAACATTATATTGATAATATATTATTGTTACTTTATATTGATGTACAATAAATTTAAACTCTACACTTTTAAATTCATATTTAGCATGATATTTTAAAATCTGTATATACTATTTTTAAATTACTGGTGGCGTCATTTCTACACTTTTTGCAAAAGTGCACTGAACTAATCATTAAAATGCGATTATAGAATCACAATTTCGATAATGCTCGCGGCCGCTATGCCACACAATGGTGTTTAGAACTTCTTTCCAAATTAACTCGAAAAGCTTTACGTTTAGTATTTTACATAAGAAAACCCACGAAACATTTCCGAGA